AATCAGGCTTGCCAAACCTCCTGATTTGACCAGGATTCTCCTGGTTTTTTTACTTTTCTCCTGGCGGAAAATCTCCTGATTTCAGGAGCTGATTTTTGTAATTTTCTCCTGTTTTCTCCTGGTTTGAATTTTTTTCAGTTAGCAATCAGCGACACCTTATATTATTAAAAATTTAAAAGAGGAAAGAAGAGATTTATCAGCACTCAATGGATATCAGAGCCAATAAGAAAATACATTGCTTTTTTTTCTTTTCTTCCAAACTAAAATAATCTCTCAATTAAATCAAATAATTTTACACCTTTACTTGCTAAAATCAAGATAGTCAATAAATACATAATTCTCATATTCAATGTCTTCTTCGTCGCTGGATGAAATTATTGAGATATCAAGCATGTCATCATCATCATCATCGGATAATAATCTTTCGAAATCATTCGAACCAGCATCTATAAATAATGCCATTTCCTTTTCATCAAAAGTTAATTCAAATTCAACATTTGATAAAATATCATCATCATCAAAAGTAAATAAACGTTATTCGTCAAAATTTAAAAAAGAATGGCTATCTTGTCCTAAATTTTCTACATTTCTACGTGAATGTAAAACTGATCCAAAAAAAGCTTTATGTATTACTTGTAATGTCAAATTTTCTATTCAAAACAGCGGAATAGGTGATATAAATTATCATATTCAAACAAAAAAACATAAAGAACATACAAAATCGGCTGAAACTAATCTATGTAAGACTTAACACTATTATTTTTATTACTAATTTTTTTTCCTATATTTTTCAGCACCAAGAATTGATCTAACATATAATATAACAACAACCGAACTCAATCGATTGTCTGCCGTTGAAGGTGCTATGGTATTTCATACAGTTAAACATTCACACAGTTACATTTCTCAAGCATGTACGATCAATATGATTAGAAAATGTTTGCCTGATTCATCTTTAGCAAAAAACATTACTTGTGATAAAACTAAAGTAAGGATAATATTATTAAAACTAAAATATAACTACGGTAGTTAATATTTATCATCTAGGCTCGTGAAATAGCATGCAATGTACTTGCGCCATCACTCACACATTCTATTGTTATTGAACTCCGAAATGTTTCATTTTTCTCGGTTTGTCATGACGCCTCAAACAAAGGAACTGTCAAGATGCTACCAATTGTTGTTCAATTTTTTTCAAAAACCGGCGTAAAACATGGTGTTCTAGACTTTATTGAGCAGCAACATGAATCAGCTGATGCATTATTTGCTAATATAAAATATGTATTAGAAGCAAATGAATTAAAACTTAATCAATTAGTTTCAATTGGATCTGATAACACCAACGTAAATGTCGGCAATCACCACAGTGTATTTGCTTTATTCGAAAAGCTCTCACCTGGTTTAATAAAAGGTAAAGCATATTCTAATATTAAAATTTGTATAATTTATTTGCTCTATAATTACTCTTTCGATCTAGGAACTTGTTATTCGCACGTTCTTCATAATTCTGTAAAACATGGAAACCAACATTTGTTATTTGACATTGAAACAACAATACTAAAAATATATTCTCATTTTTGCAGATCATCCGTTCGTGTTCAACAGTTAGCGAACTATTTTGATTTTATTGAACAAGAGCAAAAAGTAAAGAATCATATTCGTATTTTGGATATTGTATCAATATATACATATATATATATTCCATTTAGGTAATACTTAAACATATTAAAATAAGATGGTTGAGTCTTTTAAAATCTATTGAACGTCTCATTGCAATTCATCCAGTTGTTAAAAGTTATTTTTTGAATCTGGATATTGAAGAATGTCCACAGTTATTGTTAGAATTCTTTACATCGCATAAAGGTAATGATCGGCTTGAAAACATACACATATGTATATATTAATTTTTTTTATCTATATAGGTGACTGTACGTTGTACTTTTTGGCAAGCGTTTTACCAGACGTACAAAATGCAAATTTGATATTACAACGTGAATATACAACTGGAGTTAATATACATGACATTATCACAAATTTACTTCGTAAATTAAAGAATCGTTTACAGGATGAGTTTTTTGGTTGTAAAGTTGCTCAATTACTCGAAGATTCTCCAATAAAACAAGTTGATGATTTAAAAAAAATCATTTAAAGTATTTATTCGTTCAATTATTGATTATATTGAGAAATATTACAATGACTATAAATCATTTTATCAATCAATTTCTGTTTTCGCTGAAGTCGATATTGAAAAAATCGACTGGCGCAGCATTCAAAAATGTTCTGCTTTTATTGTTAATCAATCAATTGATCAAGATAATTTATATGATGAATTTAACTATATTAAATCTAAGTATATCAATTTGAAAGGAAAGTTCGGTGGAATTAGTAATCAAGTGCAATCATTTATTTTATTAAATCAAGGTTCATCAAAATATAATGGAATATCAATTAATCATGAAACAAATCTATGCGATGATTATGATTCTATTCTAGATAATCTAGATAATACTGATATCGATGATGATGATGATGAAGCCGATGCGAAAATTTATAAACATAAAAAAACAAATAGTTTAACTAGAAGTGATCATGCGTGGGCATTTTTACTCGACGGTGAATGTGTACCCAATTTAAAAAAATTGGTTGAGTTTGTATTTGCTATCCCTGGATCGAATGCCTTTTGCGAGACAGTATTTAGCCATATGAACTACCTTTGGAATAGCAGTAGAAACAGAATGAAACATGATTTAGTTGGAGCTGAGTTGAAAATTAAAATGAATACTCATTTTACTTGCACAGAGTTTTACGATTTTCTTTTAACTAAACCAGATATATTGAAACAGATTCGATCGTCAGATAAATACAGCCATGTTGCAAAAGTTCCACGTATTGCTTAGTAGAAAATTGATTATATATTTTTTTATATTATATGTTTTGATTTGTATTAACCAAGAAGTTAACTTTGATTTTCTTTTTTTTCATATTATAATTGCTATTCATGAAATAAATGTTAAAGTAAACATTATAGAACTACGATTCATTTTAGTTTTAATATAGTAATGAGAAATTTTTTCATCATTATTTCGATATGA